AAAAAGTGACAACCGGGATGGCCGGTCGGTCCCCCCGCCGGACCCTTAAAAAAAGAAACTTTTTGGCTGAAATGGTAAGTCAAAGTTGTCTTAGGATGGGTTACAAGAACTGTGTGGTGCACTATACATCCATAATTAAGTATCAACAATCTTACAAGTGGTTATTTTTCAGTATCTTATCATCAGATGGAACATTGTGACAAATCAGACCATATGGGGATGGATATCTGTACTCTGGAGTGAGATTTGTAAGACAATGACTATATCAGGAGTCCTGATATAGTCACAAAGTCCTGAATCAGTCTGATTCAGGACTTTGTCTACAAGATATATATATAGCTAGAAGTCTATTTTTCTATTAATGTTCTTGGAAATTCAGAGGACTGACTGAGTTTGATGCTATCAGATCACATGACTGTGTGAATTACCTTCCTAATATGATAATGTCACGTCACAGTCACGGTCGGTGGGTCCCCTGGAAGGGCTTAAACAAAAAGTCCAACGTATGTTCTGTTATTTTTTTTCTGATACCCCCTTGGGTCAAGCTGTAGAGATGGCGAAGTTCAGTTCGGTTCAGGTTCGGCCTGTTTTTTGGTGAACACTGAACCTGAACTTCAGTTCAGGTTCGGCTTTTGGCTGAACTCCAAACTGAACCTCGCGTTCAGGTTCAGTGAGGTTCGGTTTGCATTCAGAACATATTCAGAACATGTTCGAACCTTGAACCTGGGGGCAACAAAAAAAAACTAATTATTTCCAACTTTCATATTTTTTTTTTTTTACAGTAACAGCTGATCCTACATACCATCTGCCTCCTTTCTTTGCAAAACAAGCACTTAAGGGCTCGCCGGCGGCCCCGGCGGTTACTTAGTAAGGCCTCAGCATATTGGGCGGTGACAGTGCAATGACAGTGTGAATGTTCGGACATCAAGTCATATCGCCTGCCGGCTGCACCCAAATTGTGTCTACATTTGATTGGCAAGGCCGGCCCGGTGTCTCCGGCGTTCGAACCAAGTTCAGAGAAATGAGCTCAGTTCTGAACAGCGCCGGTTCAGGTTCGGCCCCAGGCCGAACTTTGAACCTGAACTTGCGTTCAGTTCAGTCCGGTTCGGGTTCGAACCGGAATCCCAAACCAGACGCCACCATCACTATCAAGCTGGCCACCAGGTGACAGAGTTTCTGGCAGCCAGCACTGCAGCTAGGGATTATCTACTTTTTTTGGCAGCTAGAGAACAGACTTTTTTTTTAGAAAAGATATTTTGCCATACCCTGACCCTGACAGACCCCACCCTGAAACCCTGCGGGTCGACCCTGACCCGTGCTCTACCCTATCCAGATCTGTTGAACACATCTAGAGTGTTTATAAGTCCTCAAACATGTCTGCTGGTTTGCCAAAACATTACCTGTATTTGGAGATAGGCGCACTCTCTTGTAGATGATGGGAGTGTGGAGTCTCTGCTTCATGGTCAAAATTGGCAACAAATACATGTAAACAGTTGATAAATTACCTTGCAATAGCATTGAACAGCTCCTGGTGTATCGTGAAGAGTTGGATGTTCTTGCCTGCTGACTGCTCCCCACTAGACAATATTTGTTTGTATATTGGTACCTGTGAGAAATATATGACTTGCCTTATATCATCTAAAATAGCTCGCTGAGAACCTTCTGGCCTATCCCAAGGATACCCCCAATCCCATGCAATGTGTCCCTCTGTACAAAGCCAATGCATAATCTGGTGCCAAATATGAGAGTTTGCTCCAGCAGCAAGAATTGATGGCATGGCACGGAGCAGATCTAGCAGTATAGAACCAGAATGTGGAGGCTGGTATGTTACTGAATTTGCAACAATGTTCTGCAGCTGTCCTACAGCAGTATGTGAGTCAAAGTTTAATTTTGCTCGCAGATTGGGGAAATTGTATCTTGGAGCTATAGATACTATCTGTAATAATCTTATGCATCAAATCAAGACAACAAGCTATGTCAAACAAACACACCGGCCGGATGCTTGTGATAAAGAGAATCTTGAGAATCTCATATATAACAGCCTCAATGTTATTTGGGGCAGCATCAACAGTGTCGAGAGCATGAGCAAGGGCATTGGCCCCAGGCTCAAAAATAGACAAAATAGCTAGTATTAGCCGTGTTCTCCTTGGCCTATAAGCACCTATCAATATCTTGTGCACATCTTTTTTATGGTCCTACCAAGTGGTGTTCTGTCCAAATTCCATGAGACTTGGCAAAAATATCTCAACTGGCAGCTGGCAGCCTATTGAAGAAATTGTCAATAGAAGAGAGGTTGTTGCAGCACGTAGGGGAGCCTGGTCAAATGGCAGTACAAGGTCTATCTGTGAGGTTTTGATCTGGAGCTCATGATAGATTGAGGGTCAGTCCCCATCCTCCTTCTGTATAAAAAAATAGCCAAAGAGCTCTTGACAATGGGAGACAGCCCAATCCGTGATCTGCAGCTTCTCTGCTTTGTTGAGTTTTGAATGTCCATATCTGGCTTGCCGAGAATACATGATCTTGGCTTTTGCAGTGCCTGGGACATCAGACAACCTAATGAAGGTGAAATGATGCTTATGTTTGGTCATACTTGGAATACCTGAGGTAGCATTTAAACAATAGCAGGTGACCTTGTGATAAAGGTTTCCCATTAGTATTTTTCAGCAGCTGGTCCACTGCTCTTCCTTGAAGATACCGCACAAAGGGTTTTGTCACACTGTGCAGGTTAAAGGTTGGGCCGATAGTGTTCCGGTCAGACCACCAGCTGTGCACACTATGATAGCTGGGTATTGAGAGAGTTCGTGGAAGGGCGGTAGGCATGAGGACGGCGTGCGGTCTAGTGCTGGCCAGAATTATATTATGCTTGATTAAATATTGAATATATTCAGAATATTATGAATATATTATGCACTTTGTGGATCACTTGAATATGATTATGTTTGAATATAGTATATTATATTATGACTATACTATATTATAGTCGCAGAATATTCAACTATAGTAAGGTAGATGATTACAGCTATTTTCTCAGTCTATGTACTCAGTCATAGTACTAATCTTAGTCTGAGTTAGCCCTACTTCTGATAAATGTCACATATTATCTATTATATATGGTGATTCATACATTACCCTTAGTAGGAACAAATGTCAGGAGTGATCACTTTGGGTTGACCTATGGAACATAGTGTAGGACCTCTGATCAAGTATCTACTGGCTAACCTAAGACTAGTGACAATGCCCCTGATTGTATTTTGAGAGTCCTATGTAACCCAGGGAGGCCCAAAAGGAAGTTGCACTGACAATCCAGCATGTATTTTATGTTTTTGATTCCTTTTTCTAGCAGCAAATATGTGAAACATATCAAGAGATATGCATACTAGATTATAGTTGAATATATTCATAACATATTCATATTTCACAGCTGAATATGATTATATTATACTACAAATATATTATTGGGTTGGAGCTCTGAATATGATATGATTATAATATATTATGCCCATAAAATAATATAAGTATATTTGGCCAGCACTACTGCGGTCAGCACGCCCGAAGATGGCTTATATTCGAATCTAACTCTGACATATCAATCAATCACTCCATGTCAAATCTGGGTAGTTCTCACGCTGATTGTTCCGACGATTTTTGTTGCGCTGGTGGTCAACGAAAAGACGGCTGCCTGGCAGAGGCCGCAATGCTTACGACTTGCATCCAGTTGATGGAGCCCGCCGGCGTAAGGAGCCACAAGGGGAACGTCCGCGAGGCGTGCATCATCGCGATCAAGCAGAGCGACAGGCCGGAGATAGCGAAGCCAGGGAAGCAGCCATATGACAACAAGCTCGCGAGGCTGTGTGTTGATTATACGGGCAGTGATAAGGGCCGGGAGCATGGCTATAGATAGCACGGCGTAAAGAAAGACGAACACGGTTTACCCCAATCTGTGAGGATGGTTTACGCAGAAAAGCGTGACTTACTCGGCGATTTAAATCCCATTGACAGGGACCGGTGGATCGGACCCGTCGGCCGACACGCTTCTTGCCAAAATCTGCCACGAAGCCGCCGCGCCAGCGTCGTGCCCGTCCGTCTTCGCCCCGTGGGCAGTGCCTGACCCGAACCGGGATCCAATCCACCCCACCCCACAAGAATGGCGACTGGACTGCGAAACGAAGCGCTGGTGCGGGGATAGAAACACCCGCACAGTCAGCAGGCATGCCACGCTGCTCGCCCCAGCTATATAGTGTGCAGCGACCGTCCTGCAAGGCCCTTTCTTCCTGGGGCAACGTCCTAGGGCTTCTACTGCGCCCGTTGACCAACCGGCGTGCACCGGCCCCGGCGAGCGGTTTGCCCGGGCGCTTCTCGCTCTTATGTCGGCTACTATCTCCCACTCTCATCCACGTGCGTCATCTTCGTATCGTCTTCTCGTGTTTCCAACTGCCTCCAGCATCTATTTCTGGCTCCCAGTCCAACTCCCAGCCCGCGGCACAGACGACTCTCACGAATCCCACGCCTCCCCCGTCCGGTACCGCCTTCGTGGATGACCCGCCCGACGGGTCCGAGTCACACTTTGCCGTCGTCGCCCTCGCGACCGTCATTGGCCTCATCCTTCTTTCCCTCGTCGTGTTCTTCGTCGGCCGGCAGCTCGGCGTCTGCGCCGACGAGGACGAGTATGGTCTGCGCGGACGGCGGAAGCGCAGGAACCGGCGCTCCGGCGAGCAGACCCGGCTCGGTGGGGCAGTCGCGATTAATATTGAGCTCCAACCAGCACATGCACACGTGCAGGACTTTGACGCCCCGCGGTGGGCTGCCTCACGGAAATCGGGGCCGGCGGACTTGGAGCCGCCGGCATATGGCTGGTAACGAGGAATACAAGTACAGCAACCTGTTCTATAAGCACCACGATATCCGTTTCGCTCTAGAGATAGTCAGCGAGTGGAACAACCAGAGAAAATAACGAAAGTCTGAGAATCGATCGGCGTGACGACATCGCTTAGTCACTGCCGCATCTTCTCCTCCTCCCTCACAGCGCAAGCCTAGGGACGCGACGAAACAGTCCCCCCTGCTCCACGATGCCGCCCAGTCGCTCCGCCTCCGCGCCAGAGACGGCGGCGCTGCTCGTGTCCGTGATGAAGGACAATGCGGAGCTCAAGTCGGTGAGTTTTCTTTTCCTTGGATTCATTCTCACCTTCTTCCGCTTTCGGACGTCGGCTGACGGCACGCAGGTGCTCGAAGTGAAGACGAAGGACGTTCAGGCGGCGGAGCATGCGTTGATGCTGCTCGTTGAGGAGAACCATTCGCTCAGCAAGGTGCGTGTGCTGGCGGGTATCAGACGGCCATGCTGATTGGGCAGCAGGAGGCCAACAAGGCGCGGGAAGACGCGGAGATGGTGCAGAGACGGCTCAAGCATACTGTTGAGGTGCGTTGCTGGCAATATTCTATGGACCCGTGCTCATCGATGGCGCGCCAGAGATTGGAGGATGCCGAGGACGACACTGAGCGCCTGAAGTCGGCATTGCGGGAGCGGGAAAAGACGATTGCGCGGCTTGAGGAGGAGAACGCGATGCTGACGGAGGCGAATGAGCATCTCAGTCGCAGGAGGGAAGACCAGGTGCGTGGCTTTGCCTTCGCCTTCACTGAATTCTGACCTAGTATTCGGACATAGGACAGCTATAAGGAACGGTACTCGACACAGCAGCCGTCCCAAGCCCGTATCTCGCGTTTTTCGTCAAAGTATCCATCAGACAACAAGAAGGGACATGGACGGTCTACCTCGACGTCGGTGCCCAGTCCTGTCGTACCACCCCCACCATATTCCAGTTCCCCTACTCTCGTCAAGCCGTCATTCGTGCTTGACCGAAACCGAACCCTCCCTGGATGGAATGCTGAGGTGATTATTCTCCACAAGCGTCAAAGTCGTTGACCGTTGTGAAATCCAGAAGCGAGTGAACGAGCGGACGATCTTGAATGAATATATGTACAGCCTGCCTCTGCCAACCAACCTCCGAATGGACAAGTTCGACGAGGCCAACGCGGTGCAGCGGTTTGACTCCGCTGACAACATTTACGAGGTATGACCGTCAAACTTGTTCAATATGGGTTTGTGAGTATCATCTACAGGATTTCCCCAGCATCCGGTTGACATGGGTCTTATCCGTCGTCTGAGTCCGTCGCTGAATATTCTTAGCCCTCCGCTATTCCTTCCCGGCCGCATGTTGTGGGTAAAACCGCGAGGGGGCCACGCGCTCGCATATGCGCCGACACACGAATACGTCGGTGACGCCTGGCGCGAGCACTCTCACCTGACGACATTTGCCGCCGCCTCGCTGGAGGTCGACCTCCTCTTCAGCCACCAAGAGCGGCTCTACTACGCGGGTGTGTACCGCGTGCTGAGCTTGCGCGGCGTCGCGGGGTATACCCCCGGCGGAGAAATCCCGACCTCCGAAATCGTGTGTTCCCCCCAAATTAATATTCCCGTGCGCGGTCGGTTGACGCAAGCGAATGGCAGTCGCAGCCCGCTGTCTTCCGTGCGATGCACATACGCCAATATGCACCAGAAGACGTGGCCAAGCTGCAGCGCAACCCCGCGTTCGTCGAGGGACGGCCGACGGTCGAGTGCTTCGGGCTGCAGTTCCTGTGCTACGACGATCGTCTGAGGGACACGCTGTGTGCGCGGTTTGCCAGTGCGGCGGGGCGGTTGATGGACCGCATCGGCGGGAAGCGCAAGTGGGATCAGCGGGAGGAGGAGGGAGCGATGGGGAAGAAGGCGAAGTCCGCCGGCGATGTGAAGGAGAAGCAGCCGCTGTACGAGCATAAGGTGTGGGTCCGGCCGGGGTTGTAACTGACTCTTTTGTATTAGTATTCTTTGATACTAGTGTAGCGACTTATTTTGGACGTTAATCCGAGTGACAACTCTCGGCTCCCCACGCTGAGCGCATTTTGTGCCAGTGCGCTTATTTAGTCGTTAGTGGGAACATGTTTGAGGGAGATGATGCCAGTGCCTTGTTTGATAGCCTCGTGGATGTAGCGGTAGCGCATAGCAATGTGACGAGTGCGAGGGTTCATGAGGCCGCTGTTTGCCAGTGAGATGGTGCCCTGGTTGTCGCAATGAACAATAACAGGCCCCATAGGCAGATCTCCAAGCGCTGAGATAACACCACTGGCACGCAGCCAAATGACCTCTATCGCTGCTGTGGCTGCCGAGATGAATTCAGCTTCAACTTGGCTTCAACTGTCGATTGCGCCACAAGCGATTGCTTTCGAGAGGACCACACTGCAGGAGTTCGGGAATAAACGGCCCCCGTTTCGATCGATTATATGGCTAAAATCAATATACCAAAAAAAAAAGAATTTTTTTATACCTCTATTTGTGCCAAAAAAAGTTCACTTATATGATCCAGGGCCCTGATATATGTTATATAAGTGCATATCCACCATATCAGTGCATCTTTTTTGGGAGAAATAGAGTTATAAACAAAAATTATTTTTTTATACATTGATTTTAGGTGTATAATCGATCGAAACGGGCACTGTTTATTCCTGAACTCCCGCAGTGCCAGGAGAATGCTGTACCGTCGAACATGAAGGCGTTTCCGGAAATTGAGTGATAGTCAGTCTTATCCATAGCGTGATCAGCATCTGAGTAGGCAGTGAAACCCAACTCGGAGTCGTCGAGCCCGAACGTTAGGACATAGTCACAAGTTCCCATAAGATAGAGTAGGACCTTCTGCGCTGCCTCCCGGTGGACATGTGCTGGATTAGACATGAATCGTGCTAGTTTGGAGACCGCAGCCAATGAGTCGCGCAAATAGTGTTGACGACTTGATTTTGTTGGTTATTACATTGGTGTCATAAAGGTCAGTATGTGGGTCAAGGGGAATGGAAACCAATGTGTTGATGTAGGCGCCTTGGGACATGGTTATAAGATCATTTTTCATTGTTTATCAACATTTACTGAAACCTACATGATTTGACATGCTGAGTGATCAAAATGACAGGTTTTCATCAAACTGAGTGTTGAAACCAAAGTAATGAAACTGAGCTGCTGTGATGAGACTAAATTAACTGAAACTATACTATCTTATACTTGAACAGATATTCTTTGTTGCTTCTTTACCTATTTTGAACTACAACTTGTACTACTAATTTTTTGTCTCGGCGGATTTGAGGATCAGTGCATCATCAGCCATCAAAATCCGGCTCAAATGGCAACTTTCAATGATTGGATATTAATAAGATGACTATTTTAGGAAAATAGCTAAAATAGGTAATTATTCAAATGAATCAAGTGAACAATCAGGCAAAAAAAATGAAACAGACTAGAAGAGGTTAGGATAGTATAGTATAGTAACATAGACTAAAGCTTGAGACCAAAGAGAAATGATATTGTCATCCCCAGCAAGTCCAATTAATAGAGAAAAATGAGAGCAGTTGTTTCATTATAGGTTAGAGTATCGGCTGGAGGATCAACCAAAACATGACTAAGGTCTTGTGGAGGACCTTGGCGTTTAATCCAAGAGGAAGCACCCTCATTTTGAGGATTGTTAGCTTGTTGAGACTGAATAATAGCATCATCTCGAAATTCCTGTCAGTCCACACCATATGCTTCCAATTTCTCTTCAGCAAGGCCTTCTTCTGCTTCAGGTAATTGATCTCCTTGTACTCCATTAACAAACATGTCAAAGACAAACATATCTGTTAGTGATCGGTTGGGCCCATGATATGATGCTGATTCCAAGTCTGTGCAAAAAATGCGAGCTGTGTATTGATTGTTCCAAGAAAGAGGAATTGTAAAAGCCAGACATGATTTATGTTGTTGATATCTAGGCCATAGCAGATTTGCAGAAGCTGGAATGCTTGATACCAGGTCTCACAAACCTGTGCTGTAACATCTACCCAGTCTCTCAATCCTTACATTATGTACACTCCTGACAAAGACCATCTTATAATCTTTGAATATTGCATAAGATATTAACTTACCTTCCCCATATGTAAAAGCCCCAGCCTATACCACACTGAACCTCCATCATCAGGAAAAGTCAATTTCTCTGGAGGCCCTGGCAGGCCTGTCAAGGGCCACCCAAATTCTGTGATCAATCTGGCATGGCTGGCGTGGCTGTTCTGGCTGGTGCCAGACATTTGACAGAATTTGGTAAATCACACCAGAATTTGCTCTTGGAAAACATGCTAAGTCCCACATCAATCATAAGACATCAATTTGTTACTGATGATCTTTTCTCTGCATGGTAACGCCTGACAGATGGTGTGATTTTTTGCGTCTTTCTTTCCCCACCCACTTCTTCCCTCTCTCCTTCCTCCCACCAACCATGTCGCACTGGTGATGCCAGCGGCGGTCGTGTCTTGGAGGCTCATGATGGAAGGCCTGAGGTGCGTGCTTGTTCCCTTCGATTCCTCCATGCTAATCGCTTGCGTTCAGTAGCGTCCTCGTGGCACGCCATCTTTCCCCAAGCTCTGTAAGTTGTCAACCCATTCCTGGGGTGCTTTGGCTGAAACTGGTTGTGTAGACGGCAGTGGTATGACTCTCCCACCCCGGGCCCAGGGTCTCGAGCGGCGCGCAACAGCGGCCCCGGCGGAGGGTTCTGTGTACAGCGGCTACTATTCCGGCGGCGTCAGGCATGGCGTGCCCGCAATTCGTAAGTTTGCAACTCATTTCTCGTGTGTTTTGGCTGAAACTCGTTGTCTAGATAAGCATAGCACGACAGCGACGCAGTAGCTGCTGTTTCGGCGGTGTTGGACGCGTGGTGTTGGACGCGCCTTCCGCTTGAGGTCTTGAGCGTGTGGCGGGGCACTTCTGTCCGGCATTCCCTCAAACTCTCAAGCAGAACGGCACAGCAGTTAGGTCTGGGTAGCCCGGCCACTGTACTCCTCACCCCGAGCACCAGTGGAGACGACTGGGGGTTCCGCCATGCTTCAGCCTTTCGCTGTGTATAGTTTTGCAATGTGTAGTATGTAGAAAGTGGAATATATATATGTTTTCTACAATAATTTGAAGTAAAATTAGTGGGATTGGAGAGCGTTGGAACAACCCTGGTACAATTCTGGGCGAATTCTGGCGCCAAAATTAATTCTGGCGCTTGCTATGTCAATAATGGGGCCAGACTGATTTTGGCGGCCTGTCATGCCTGGGACATGCCTGGGTGCCTTGGCACCAGGGCGCCCAGGCCGATTGAGTTTTCCTGATGATCCATGCTGCAACATGTAGATTCTTTCCACCATGGTCACCTCGCACACGTGAGGGAACACCATATACATGTGCAGCATTTAGAAAAAGTTCTAGGACTGTTGCTGCTCGGTTATCATTACTAGCGCGTAGTCCAGTAATCAGATTACAATGCCCCAGCAAATTAATCCTATGAATATTAGAATCAGCTAAAATAAAAATAAAAATAAAAATAAAAATAAAAATAAAAATAAAAAATAAAAGAAAAAATAAAAAATTGGACATCCAATTATCCTCATACACCCACCTTAATGTCTCACACTCCATCTATAGACCTCCCTATTCATGTAAACCAGTACTACATGCACATGCATGGAAAGTTTGCCCCCAATTCACCAGCCAAACACATGCACTTATCAATCAGAGTACATGGGTATATGTAAATCCCTCATAGACTGAACTTGACTTATTTTGATCCATAATCAACTAGCAGATTATCGCTGTATTGTCAATATCATGTGTAATAGTAGTTATGTGTATATTGGAGAATGATAAGGAAGAGATCACATATGAACAGCCCGCTGGGCTGCACATTCTAATATGAAGGGATGACCCCAAATGCCCTATGCTGCAATAAATACCCCAATAATTCTGCAACATCTCTAAGTTCTCAAGTCCCTCAGCACTAAGTCCCTTCTACGCTGCTAATGCTGCAATGCTGCAATAATCAAGTTAGTTTCCTAAATTAGCAAATATGACATAAATAGTGATAATAGTCACACTTTCTGTACTTAAGTAACAACTTGAACGTTGAAAGTATACTGTATGAGAAGGTCAGATCCTATTGTCCTGGTCACAATGTCACATAGTATAAGTACAACATGTGTGTGTGACAAAATTCTTAAAAATGAAACTTTGTCAGTTGATAATTATGAATAAGTTGCACACTATAGGACTTAGACAAGAAGCTATTATATAATCCTATCCAAACTTGGGTTGAAGTCAGTTCCTCGGTCATGCTGCTACATTTGTCACATAGTGTGACAAACTTCCAAAACAGAATTTTTTGCTATTTGATAGTACAATCATCAGTAAATGTCGCAAATTATCACAAATTAAAGTTGTATATCTTGACTATATGAACAACTTTCATCAAGTGACCTATAGTGGCAGACCAATAATAGTATCAGCACTTGCCAATTACTGGCTAATGTATAACTGATAGGCCTCTCTAGAGATCTTTCTTGTTACTTGAGCTAAAAAGTAAGTTTACATTTGTGATGTAGTCCTACAATACAATCATGCCAAATGATTTCTGAATAGATCATGTATTTTTTAAAGATTGATTGCCGTTGATGGCCGCTGATGGCAAGTGATGGAAGAATGGAAGTTGTACCTTGCCTGAAAAAGTTGTATCTAGGCCCCCAAAAGTTGTACCAGAGGCCTTGACAACATGTATCTTGGAAAGTTGTGATTTACAAAGTTGTTGCATTCTAAGTTGAAGTAGCTCTTAAGAAGGTTGTACCTCAGAAAGAAAGTTGTACTTGAAAAAGTTGTACTCAGAATGAAAAAACCAAGTTGTATCTAAGAAAGTTGAAGATGCTGCTGGAAAAGTTGTCTGCTCATTATAAGTTGTCAATAGTCAGAAAAGTTGGACTTGGTGAAGTTGAACATGTCTTCAGGGTGGGGGGGGTTGTCATCAAGTATAAACATGTCACCAGAAAAGTTGTCTTTGGGGTTGACTTGTACATGTCCACCAGGTGAAAAGTTGTATCTAATTTTCAAAGTTATATGTGAAAATTGTAAAAAAGGCAAGTTGTATCTCCAAAAAGTTGTATTTATTTCAAAACATGTATGAAATACTTTTTTTACAGTATGTCCCCCATACAGAGGCATCATGTATGTTTATGGGTTGCAGCACAACAGATACCATTCTATGGGCAATATACTGTAACATTAATAAACAACAAGTTTGACATAAAAACATGGGTAATTTTAAGACAACTTCAAAATTTTGTTAAACAAGTAATTGGCACTTGTGGGCAACTTAGTATTCTGACAAGGCACCTTCAATCTGGAACAACTTGGCTAATGACAACTTGGCACAGACAAGGTACAACTCTGATTCTAGAACAAGGCAACTTCAAATGATCAGAGTACAACTTTGAAAATGCAAGATACAACTTTATGGGGACAAGGTACAACTTAGTCCTTGTGCATTCATGCCCATTTGATAGGCAGCACAAATGCTGACTAATAATGCCAGTGTGATGATGCCCTATTTCCAATACATTTCAAAATTATTTCAGTCTGAAAAACTAAATTCTATGTAATTTAGCTATGTGTCCTCATAATTGAGGGGATAGGGTAGTGTTGGTAGGTCAAGCTTCTATTTCCCAGTCATATGATTATTTTGTAACCAGTTTTAAACTCAATAACACATTTATGAGCCATTGTGTTAATAACAATCATAATATATTTAGATTTAAATGGCCCAACAATGTCTTGTCTTTTATTGCTTGTTCCTAGGGCCGATTCAGTCAGGCAAGTACCAGAAGAAAGAACTTATTAAGCCCTTCCACCTCCCCCATTACCTAAGGTAGAGACCACACCCTTAGCTAGAATGGCCCTAGAAATATTTTTAAAACCATTTTGTGAATATCTCAATAATCTCTTTCCCTCCTCCCTTGTAGCTTGTTGAGACACATCTCATATTGCTAAAGCATATCCCCTTGCAATATCAAGCTCATCCATTCAGTGGTTGCTACACTATACCCTATGCAAGCTTTGACAGCTGTGATCAAAAATCGTGTGAAGTGACATTGGTGGCTATGCTAATGTCAGGGACTGTTAGACGACTCAGACCTTCTCCTCAATTGTGGGTACACTGCCAGTGGATATATTTTTAAGAGCCCAAATGATCATTAATGCATGTGTTAGCCTCTCAGCTACCCGAATAAACATTGAAAATGAATCTATGGCATCCTTAATTCTCAAACTGGAGTCTAACTCCACAGCCTCGGCACCATTAGTCATCATGGGAAGGATCAGCTGTGGCTGTGCTACTCGTCTCTTTCCGTATCCACAACCATCGACACCCAGTCCGCTCTTCTTATCATCTGGATCTTCAATGGCGGAGATGTTCTGCTGGCACTACTGGCCAAGGGAAGTGTGAAGTCAACGAGTTACGAGGTGCGTGGCTGGGCCTGGCTTCCGCGCTGGGTGCTGATATATCTGCGTAGCTTGGGGCTCTGCCGCCCGAGCCGACGGTGGTGGTGGCGGAGAAGCCCACGGGAAAACGCAAGGTGCGCGCGATCGCTGATATTGCAGGGCCGTAGAAGACTGACTTCACTCACCAAGATGGGACTGCGGACTCAAATACTAGTGGTTGTTCCGCTTGGGACTCACTGGAGATCGCGCGAGGTAGGCCCGGACGCTGCTGCTTTTGGAAAACGCCAGCCGGGCCGTGCAGAGTCGTTTCGCCTGGGTATCGGGTGGAACGACGGAAAAATTGGCCCAGTGCCCACGGGCGTGCGCCGCGTGCCGCAGGCCTCGCAGACGGCTGCAATACCAGAGTCTGCTGCCCGCAGACCCAGCCGCTGAAGTGGCACCCTCGCAAGTCACAGGAGCAATGGCCCACACCTCCGCTTCCTAGGTGCCTGGTTCCAATTTCCGCCAGAACGAACAACAACCAAGCGCGGCGCTCACGAAGCTTGCACCAATCGCGGTCAACGGTGGCGACGGCCGAACCTTCGTTTCATTGTTGTGTGTATCATCTGCGGCCTAACACACTGTCAGCGAAAGAACCCACAGACAAAAGACTTAGCGCACCATGGTTTCTTGCATTTCAATATCACTACTTCCGTCGTCGTCTGTGAGCGAGTTCGTGCCTTGGGTAGGCAGCGGAAGATTGGGAGACCAGCTTGAGAGGCCAAAGTAGACGAGGTTATAGAAGCCTTTGGCAGTACGATGCTTGGGATCAGCCGACCTGGCACGTATCAGCATCCATGGATAACGAGGAAAAAAGAAGCGCACCACTTCCAGTCGGTGAGAGTGCTCTCCGAGACGGTTTTGTTGGGGTGCCAGACACCATGCGCTCCTCTCCCGTGCGAGACCTTGGCGAGAAGATAGGCGCCGTAGAGGTTTGCAGTACCCGAAGCGATGCTGGGAAGATCGCTATAGGCAGCACGAAAGGCGGCCTCAAGGTCAGTCGGGAGACGCGTCGACGGCGACAGTGACGGCTTTGACATAGCCAGCAGCGTAGAGGCTGCGGATTCTACTCAAGGTTCAGCCGATAGACGATGAACTTAATGGAGCAAACGTACTCGGCTTCTCCAGGGTTTGGGAATCCCTCGCCATGTACCATCGACGTGCTCGGCGCGAGTACAGCAGTGAACGCAATCGTCTTCGCTCCCGCTGAGGCCTTCACTCCAGTCGAGTTGGAGTCTACTTTGGCCGAGCTGGTTCGCTTGCGCTTATCGAAGATGGATTTCGCGAGGAAGGCTTGCTGCGTCTACGCATGCACTCAGTATGACCAAATTGAGGCGAATGAGCGTAGAGAACACACCTTGGCAGTTGGCTCAAAGAAATGGTCGGCAGCTTCAGCTTGACGTGCTTTCGCGGCGTTTGGCGCTGTCGACGAACGAGGCAGAAGCCTACAAAGTCGAAGGATTAGCATTGAGGGAAGCTGAATTCAAGCGCTAACCTTCGGCATCTGGGGTAGACCCGTGCTGGGATTTTTTGGGGGTAATTCGTTGCGCTGAGAACGATGAGACCGCTTACGGAGTGAGAGAAGGAACGATGGCAAAGGACGTACTGGAGCAGTCGCATCCGAAGCTGGAGCCGGCTGGAGTGTCTTTAGTTGGATAGCCAGCGCAGAAGAGACATCAACGTACCGCCGTTTTCTTGATCCAAACGTGCTGGTTACCGAGATGTCCGCAGACGCACGTTTTGCCGAGTGCATGGCGGGGGTCGAGGACGTCTTCATTGGGGAAGAAGGGGTATCCGCAGTCGGAACACTTGCGACATTCGCCAAAATCGGCCCAAGTGGGAGACATGATGAGCTTGGGAGTTGGATGTGGGTGAAAAGCAAAGGACGAGAAATCGACTTGGTCTCTGAGTTAATATGACCTGCTCATACGCTTTGACGGCGTTTGTCCCCTAGCAATCGATTTGAGTCTCTTTTAGAATATATCAGGTAAGCGTATCCAGGGGGTCGACTACGCACCGTCCATAAGGTGGTATATTTTGGACGCAATGAACGCATCACTGACTCTGTACCATTCAAATTCGGCTACCTCGGTGAGCTGCTGGCATGCTGCCGTATGAGGTCTCCAATGCTTGCTGAGAATTTGCCTCAATCACGATGGTTAAGCTTTGAAGGACGAGCCATAGAAAACTTCTGACCGCCCTAACGAGCGTGCCGAGGTATATTGGTGGCCAAATCTTGTCGGACACAAGGTGGAGACCGTGTAGGAAGCTTTTCACCAGCTGAGGGTTTGGATGGCGGAAGGGTGCGTGGACGGCCAGCGCGAAGAGTTAGACCGTGGAGACAATGAGCCTGGAGTGGGTACTGGCGGGCGGTACGGTGGCTGGGTGAGAGTCGGGAGAACGCGTCAGCGCCGTGACTGATTGACATGTGTGACTGATCGTCGGCAAATGAGCATCCGGCCCGGCCGCGACTTGTCTTTAACGCACACCATGAGCTCCTCGAACCAGCACGATGGGGATAGCTTTGGTAGATTTCTGCTTCATGCTGAACAAATTACCCGCGAAGCCCGCTTCGTCTTAGATTCAATCCCAAACGTGGAGTTTTTTGCAGTCGAGAGATCATTGCGTCATCTGCGTGCTGCCAAGCAGGTTCTAACTGAGACGGAAGACATCTGGCTTGTTGGAGAAGAACGAACTGGGCTGGTCAACCTAGTGGATAGTCTTATCAACCCTCTCGCTGAGTTTCTGGCCGCTCCTCCGCCCGCATCGAATGCTGGAGTCCCTGTCGCAGCCTCCGGTGGTCGAGGCCGTCCTCGATTTGTTCTCGATCTAGAGCGAGCAATCGACTTGCACAATCTGGGAAATACTTGGGAGGATGTTGCCACTGCCATGGGTGTTGCTCGGATTACGCTGTATCGCCACTTGGATGAAGCTGGACTTTCGACACATCGCCCTCTTCACTCGAGCGTTGCAGACTCACAACTCGACGAGCTAATTGCTGAATTTTCGCTTCAGCATCCGTTCTCGGGTGCCCAGATCGCTCTTGGCCATCTTGAAGCACAGGGTATTCACTTACCTATTGAACGTGTGCGAGAGAGCCTTGGGCGTGTCGATCCGGTTGGAACCTTCATACGGTGCGCTTACTTGTTGTTTTCCCCACTCAGTGCTTAACTTCGAAACAGATGGCACAAGACGGTCAAACGGCGTGTTTATCGCGTTCGTGGAGCAAATGCACTCTGGCATCACGACGGAAATGAGAAGTTGAAGCCCTGGGGATTCTAGATTCATGGCTGTATCGATGGCTTCTCTCGGCTCTTCATTTATCTCATGTGCTGCAATAACAAAAGGTCTGCAACTGTAGAGGCAATCTTTCGCCGGGCTGTAGACCAGTTTGGGTGGCCAAGTCGGGCGAGGGGTGACTTTGGAACGGAAAACAATGGGGTGGAAAGGCAGATGATTGGACATTGGGGTCAGACACACATGGCATATCTTCGAGGACGGTGGGTTTCATCCAGGCACCAGATTTCTTTGGTCTAACAATTCATATGTTCTAGATCGCTGCAAAATATCCGTATTGAACGCAGTTGGCGGGACATTCGCAAGGATGCCCTGCAATACTTTCGTGAGATTTTTCAACATTTGGAAGAAAGTCATCTTCTCGATATGGAAAACGCCATCGAACGAGTCTGTCTATTCCTCGTTTATCAACCTCGAATCCAGGCAGCCCTCGACAGGGCACGAAATGCATGGAACCACCACAAAATCCGCACCGAACGCAACAAGACACCAATTGCCATCTATGAACTCAGTCGGGAAAAAGCCATTCGTCTTGGCTATTGGACTGGTGACCCTGGAGACAATATTGGTGAGGTTTCTGCTGATTATGGGGTGGATGGTGATGGTCCCCAACCTCCGTTGGATGAATTGGCCTCCGATCCCATTGCTGCTGATTACACAGAACATACCTCATCTGAGGCTGAACAAGCTGCTGGTATTTTTGTGAATGACTCTTCTGAGGTTGATGAGATGAGGAAGACTCTAGGAGATTTTGACTTGGGAGCAGAGGATGGAAATCATGGCATGGATGTCTATTGTCAGGCTGTTCTATTAGCCACTTCATTTAGTGGTCTGCTGGCTTTGGCTTCAGGCCAAAAAGCCATGGCTTTTTGGCTTTGGTACCAGGGCCAAAGCCAAGCCAGAAATCTTGGCCTGTGTTGGATTTGGCCTGGCTCAAGGGTTTAGAAAGCCAAAGCCAGGCCAAAAGCCAATGGCTTTTATTATGATCATTGATAGCTGATTTAACTACCCAAAAGGAAATTATCTAGTGATATGTTAGCCTAGAAGGGTCATTGCTAGTATCTAAAGGCTTTATAGATGCTCTACAGTTTGCCTTCTTACCAGTCTTTGAACTAGATCAAATATTTAATATTGTTTCTGATGCCAACATCTGTCAAACAGCACCAGATCAAACTCAGCCGAGGCCATGGCCTGGGCCAAAGCCAAGCTAAAGCCAGGCCAAAGCCAGCTCAGTTGGCCTGGCCTGAGGTTTTGCTAGGCTAAAGCCAAGGAAAGCCGGGCCAAAGCCATGGCTTTCAGGCCAAGCCAAGGCCAGAAGACCACTAACTTCATTCTACCAGAACCTGTGAAGCCCCATGTAGAGCAATCCCTCTCTCCCAGTATATATCATCTGAAAATCATTTTTGCCTTACTAGTATTTAGTAAGCAATTACTAATTTATCCTTGGGTACAACTTGTCTAGGAGAAATCAGTTGTTGTCCTGACACTTGAAGAAGTTGTCTAGGGCCAAAGGAAAGTTGTACCCACCTTGCAGCAAAGTTGCCCTTCTCCTCAATCAACATGCCTGAAACCAAACTTGTCATTTTACAAGTTGTCTAACACTTTTGCCAAGTTGTCTTCAACCTAAGTTGTCCCATGTGAAAGTTGTCTTGTCATGGTGTAAAGTTGTCTTGAGACAAATGCCACTTGTATCAAGAAAAGTTGTCAATGATTGAAGTTGTCCAAAAATTATCTATGTCATTTTCTAGAAGATGTTGTTTATTAATGTTACAGTATATGGGCAGTATATTGTATCAAAAGTTTTACAACAACTCTTCCTAGAAACAGTCAAAATTTAGGTACAACTTTGATTTTACCCTGACTTTAATGATACAACTTCTTCTTTGATGTACAACTTGCAACTTTTTATACACAACTTTATGGCTGACAACTCTTCTCATCAGCAAGTTCACAGGAAGATACTGCAACTTAGGACTACTTGTTGCAACTTTTAACATGCAACTTGTAACTTTACACATGCATGTGCAACTCTCATAATGCAACTTCCAACACATATAATGCAACTTTACACTGCAACTTTCTAACTTGATTCTGTGGAAACTAGGAATTTCTGAAAGAGGGTTTTAGAAGTCCTAAATTGGCGAGAAAAGCTATAGAATGGGACCAATCCTAATTGGGACACAAAGCTGTAAGTGATGACTTGCACCCAGTACTGTGAATAAGTTGTATCTAAGGTTATGTCTCAGTAAATATTCTCAAATTTCCCACAATTTGAGAAATAAATACACAAATGTTAGTGACTTGGGGCACTCAATATATACTAGCAACAGATATTTAAGAAGGCCTTTGGGCATTTGTGTGCTATTCTGTAGTTGGTGGCAATATTCTTAATTTAGAAATTCATGTTGTTCAGGCAATATTCAAGCTTAAAGCTGGGGCATAGCCCCAGCCCTGTCTAGTAGTATATAAACAGAATAGACAGTTAGGCAATGGCATGAGTAAAGCCCTGGGTATCCAGAGCCTTACTCATACTCATACCTGCACAGCCACTATACCCATACCCATGGGTATGGGTATGAGTAGTCATGGGTATGGGTATGGGTTTTACTCATGGGTAGTGTCAATTCTAAACCCAAAAGACTGATATTTTTCCTAGCTTAACACAACATTTTTGCTTGAGCTTTGTAGATGCCACTGAAGGGCTGTTGCTTGGATGCGGACATGATGTGACTTGCATATGGTGAACAATTGATATCTGATCTGATCTACCCATGGGTCAGCGGGTAAGAACTTTCCAATCTATACCCGTGCCATTGCCTATAGACAGTTAGCGTATGACTTTGTTTGCCCTAACGCACAGATCCTTCATTGGAGTGTGATTGCAAACTGAATTCGGCTATTTTGATCCCATCGTCCCTCGTATCAACCGGTATTTCAACGGGAAGTTACAGCCAAGAACTTCAAAGTTTGTGTTGATTGTTTAACAGTTGCAGTCAACATGTTTGAAGTTGTAGTGACAGTAGACAAAAGTTGCGAGCAAACAAATTGAGGTTGTAGTTGTAAAAATGAAAAATGTGGCTAACAACTTGCAATGATTGGTAGGTTGCAAGCGTCCTAAGGAAATTGTTTTCATGGTTTTAAAAGTTGTTCTCCATTAAAACATATTGAGACTAATAAATCAGAGTTGTATTGAAAAAAGGGCAGAAAAAAAGTTGAAAGTTGTAAAATACTTATGATACAGTATACCCCCCATAACAGTATATTGCCCATACCATTCCTCCGAGTCATCGCCAACATTTAATGAAACAAAACATCAGAAATCTCAGTAGTACCTGGCGTAACCAGTTGTCGTTGCCGGCGTCATGAAGGCTCCACGCAGCTCATTTGCCCGATGACAAATCTCACGCCACTTGTGGACGGGGTTGTACAACCTGATTCTCAGACCCTCTTCATTCTCTGCTGTCAGCATACTTTCCAAATAATTCCACATCGCCTGGCTGCGTGCAACATACACATGCTCTTCATGTGTTTCGACAAGGATGAATATGTTGAACTTGAACATTGCTTCGATATTGGTGGCGGCACGGAGTATGCGGAGGCGCGACAGTAAGCTCTGCGCTAGGAGGCCGGCGTCGAAGCGACAATAGCTGACCATGATCAGCTTGCGGAGCCCCGGCACGAGTGTTGTATCCTCCCGCAACGCCTTCAGTACTGTGTTGTCCACAGCTATATGGTACTTCCCAACATCCATCTCCACATCCTCCACCCACAGCTCCACCAATGCGGGCACTGCTCGCAGGGTAGCCAGCAGTGCGTCCGATGCGATGACGACGGCGCATAGGTGCAGCTTGACGAGGCTCGATGCGCGGCTCGCGAACACCGTGAAGCCGTCCACGTCCCAGCCAACGGGAGTGTCGCCGTCCTTTGCCATAGCACACTGCAGCGTGACCAAGTTGGGCAAATTGAGCCGCCGCAGGACGTGACCAAGGACCGTCGGCGTGGGCTGAGAGTGGCTCGGCGCGTTGGCTGCCAAGAGAGTGAGCATATTGATGTCGGAGCGCAGGTCTTCTCCATCGTTAGGCCACCCACGGAAATAATTGGGGGCAGCGTAAATCGTGACATGACATGACTTTGGGCAGTTCGGCAGGAACGACATTCCGCTGTAGTCCGCCCCCTGTTTGAAATTCACCTGCACAGAGGTGAGCTGGGCCCATGGGAGTGCTGGCGCGGGGAGATACACGTCAACATTGAAGATGGCCTCTGTCAATACCGGAGCATTCAGCAGTACATCCCAGTCTTGGATGAAACTACGCCTGGACCGCCTGTTGGTATGCGAAACGCGCACCGCCGCAATCTCCAACCGTTTCAGCCGCCCCTGGACCGCTTTAAGGACACCAAAGTCCCACTCATCCCCCAAGAGCGTGAAGCAGTGCCAGCGCTCGGCATGCTCGCAGAGTGCATCAAGTGTATAACGGTTGCCGGTCCACTCCTTGTTGCGAAAATTGACGGTAATATCCAGCGGCAGGTCATTGGACCGAGCTAGTGCCCGTTTTACAAACTCGGCCACTAGCTCATCGTGCTTCATATCGATAGCGGTCACAGTGATGGTTGACCAGAGACGGGATGTGCCGAAGATGAGTTGTTGCCAGTGGAGGCAGACAGTGGAGAGAAGGACCCAGCCTTGGTTCGCAATCCGACACAATGCATCCCTTGGGCCTTTCCTCGCTTTCGAGCGGTTCCATGTAATATGAAGGTTTATATCCAGCGAGATGCGCGGTTTCGAAATGAGGCAACGCGTCAAGGGGGACTTTGTGAACACAGTCTTCAAGGAGTGGAAATAGCAATTCGGGCGGCAGCCGACGAATCGGAGCGAAGAGGCTAGTACAAGCCTCTGCATAATGACGGAGTCGACGCTGTTCGTCTTGCAGTCGTGCCAAGATCGCCTCAACCTCTGAGATGGTCGCCTCATACTGCAGCAGGTCGGGCAAAGCCCTTTCGTGGAAGCCTCTCAGATTGTCCATTTCAGCAGACGGCACTGAGCGGCTTCGGAGCACGGAAAAGACGAGCTGGTTTTGTGGCTCTGTCGGGAGGAGGGTCGAATGGAAGAAATTGTCCATTGGGAGTAGCGCCGAGTCAAACGTCAAGATGCAGAAGAGCAGGGGGGGGCAAAAGATGAGTTCGATCGGAAGCAGACTGGCCTCGTGGCGTCCCTACAGAGGTCACGTTGTGGGAAGAACGCGGTATGGACGCCGTGCACGCACCGTTAGAGTTCAAGCAAGGACGAGATGATGGGAGTCAAAAGGAAAGGAGCGATTCGGATCATCCTTGCGCGTCACATAAGTCACATCATCGATCGATTGATAGACTTAGCACTCGCTGACTACGACCTTGAGGTCTCCAATTATTAGTTCACTGTCTTTCCTTCAAAACGAAAGGGAACATTATTCAATTGGCCGCCAATGGACTGTGAACCTTAGGATAGATCGCTAATCCCGAGCAACTCAGCACTCTTCCAGCAGTTGTTAAAGTCGAATTTAGATGTGATCTGGCGCAATCGTGGGCAATACAAAATTTACGCTTCAGTCTCTTTTACTTATGTGTATAACAATGATGCAGGCCCTCTGGAAAAAGATTGATATACCTATCGGAATACCATCCGCATCACGTACCTTCGCTCAACACCCTGCACCAGTTCCGTTAGCTCAGCCAGCCCCTTCGACTCAGCTTGGGACACACTCACCCTATCCGACCAGGCGATCTCCGCCTTGAGCTCCGTCAGTCCGAATGACAGTATTACGTCGAACTGCAGCGAGTAGTACGCTCCGCGGGAGCCCGTTAACACAGGTAGATGTGGCACGATGCGCGACGTGTCCGCCTCGACGATGCACAGCGTGGTGTAGTTATCTGACACGAGTATCATATCCGTCACCTTTTGAGCGAGCATA